ATCCATTCCATAAAACAAAGTCGAAAAAACATAGCACCTCGCCCACCTAACTTTTTGTTTCAATTTTCAATGCCTTTTACAAAGCACTGACAATACTATCAATACTGCACTGACTCAATGAACAATTAAACGCAATTCTATGGGAGTTCTATGGGAAGATAAGGGCTATAAAATCTACATAAGAAAGTTACTTAAAGAATACTTAAAGTTTAATCGGGAAATTAATGCTTAGAAAACTGAGTATCTAGCAATAGAAAATATATAATGAAAAGAATATAAAATCGATACAAATTATAAAAATACAATGTTGCCGATACTTTTCAGCTAAGTGAAGACGGAAACGATACTGCAGATATAAAAAACCAAACCTTATAATATAGACAAATCTTTGACAAGAAAGTTACATTCCCTATTATGTAATAAATGTTTGTAAAATCAAACAAAAAAAATTTTCAGATTGTTGATAGAAAGCACTGTAACATACGGATATAGATAAAATAAAATGAACACGGTTCGAATAGGGTTTTAGAAGATGTAAATTTAGACTACTAGACTGTGTCAGAAATAAAGAAATGACTGTTTCAATGGGAATAAGTCACAATAAAAGTTTAAAATAAGTTTATTGATATTTCAATTTCCACTTCGAAAATCGTTCTTACAATAAAAACTTTATAAAATCAAACAAATTTTGATTTTTGTTACTTGGTAAAAAATTCTTATAATAATTTAATTTTAACATTTGTGGACCTATAATTTTTCTTAAACTTAATGTAATATGTGTAGATATTAAGGAATTTACTTTAATTTTACAGAGTTTAAACCATTCCTTAGTTTTGTTTAGATGTAGTTGTAGTATTTCTAATGCTATTGCTGGATTACTATGATATGTAAGCAAATCAGTATCATCTGCAAATATTGCAAGCGTTAGGATATCGCTTTTTGGTAAGTCAGCCGTATATATTAGATACAAGATTGGTCTAAGCACACTACCCTGAGGTTCACCAGAGTTGATGGAGTAGAGTTTGGTATTGGCTTCACTATACCCTACTAGATATCTTCTTTCTGTAAGTCATGATTTAAGCAGTTTGATGTAAGTTTAAGGAAGGTTTTTCTTTACCTTTTACAAAGTCCTGTGTATCATACCTTGGGAAAAGCTTGAGACGCATCTAAAAAGCTGCAGTACAGTACTGCTTGCTTCCGAAACTAGTTATTATTATGAATAATCTGTGAACTTGTTCTAGTGTAGCGTGCTAGTTACGAAATCCGAACTAATGGTCAGGTATAAGACCCTTTTTATCCAATATTGGTTTGATTTTCCTCAACAAAAGCTTTTCAAAAACCTTGGACCTTACATGTAATGAGATTGTATCCTGGCGCCTTGTTGGGTTTTATCTCATTATTTATTATATGTTTTACTTCTTTAATGTTAAATTGGGAGATTGGTAGTTTCATTTGATATGGAGTGTCAGGAAAATAATGAAATGGTTCTTCTTGTTCTACAGGCACTTCTCTGGTAAATGAACTAAATACTTTCGAAATTGTTCAGCGAATATCTCGTATTTCTCGTTTTTGCCTATATACCTTTGGACTTAAAGAAGGTATGGCGATTTGTGGACATCTCCTCGCTTTCCATAAAGAATAGTTGTTATCTTTAATTGGCGTCAGATTTTCTGCATTAGTTTGGATCCCCTTATTGTTTTCATCTTTTAACAGATTTTTAAGTCTCCTAGCAATTCTGTTTAGGTTTGCTTTGTTAATAGGTGCGATTATGTTTTGCCACTTTCTCCTTAGTGTTCTTTACTCTTCAATCAAGTTTTTGCACTCAGAGAACAAGTTAAGCTTGCGTTTCATATTGTTTGTTCAGGACTAGCACTTCATCCCGCCTTTGGCATGGAAGCAGTACGATATTGTACAGCGTTTTCAATTTGTATTGTTCTGTTGTGAGTGGCAAGTTTATTGATATTTGTTCTGTAAGTGCACTTCGAAATATGTTCCAGTTAGTTTGGTTATTGTTTAGGACTGAAGGCTCGTAGCTTATTGAGTTTTGAAATATTAACTTGTCATGTTCATCACTTCATTATTAATAAATATGTTTTAATGAAATTTTTGTAACTATTTGAAGCCACTCTAAATTTAATGGCGTAAGAATTTTTTAATAAAAAAAATCGGTAATAAAAATTCTCAACTTTTGACTAAGAAAAAGTATCGTAGCCCTGGAAATTTGAACAAACATTTTAAAATTTTTCAGAATTCAAACCTTTTATTACACGACATTTAAAAATAATAGTTAACATCGGTTAACAACCTAAATTTCATAGAGGTGTTTCCAATCTAAGTCAGTCACACTGTATGTAAATGCCACAAAAAGTAAAAATTCAGTAGTATAAGCTATTATTTGCAAAATAAAATATTACAACTAGTAACGTTATAAACTTCACATCTTTATTAAATTATATTTAAATAATTATTTTATTTTAATTTCTTAATTTATAAATTTCTTTACCTTCAGTTTTGTCTTTACTATTTTTTCTTCAAAAAGTAGTTGTCACTCTCTCTCTCTCTCTCTCTTTCTCTCTCTGTCTTTCCGCTTTCTTTCTGTACGTAGAATAAATAATCGCCCTGTTTCTTTCTTTCCGGTAGACTAAATATTCTGTTTTATGTTGACTGATGTGCTAATTTCAACATAGGCATACGTCCTATGTCATCTGTGCTAACTTCATTGCAGTCCCTTCTTACTTTCTGTCAATCACCTTTTCTAACGTAGTGAGAATATAATTTTTTGCCTGTTTTTAAAATTTATAAAAAAAGAAAAATTATTATAAGGTTCATTTTATCGTCTGTAGAGTTCTCTTGGGGCGAAAATTACTTTCATTTTAATCTATATTCTGTAATTCTGACAGCATTTTCAATATTTATAACCTCACTTTTTTTAAGCTACGTTTTCAATCCTTGTGCATGTAAAAATCTAACAAAATTTAACTAAGTTTAATAATAACTATATATCATTTTATGTTTAATTGTAATTTTGTAAAATGGCAAGGAGGTTAAACCTCTTTTGATGTTTCTCTAATACAGGCTGTATTTTAGTTTATTGGCTTTATGGGATATTTCTAAATATTTTATTAAATAACTGCAGCTGCCAGGAGGACCTAACCACCTAATTAGGAGGCCACACAAATATAATATGGAATAACTGCATCTGTCAGGAGGATCTTACCACCTAATTGAGAGGTCACACATATTAAGTAGTAAGCAGCCCACAAAAAAGTACTCTGCAGCAGGGACATTTCAATTTCTTTAAAGATAAGACTTCTGAGATGCTATGTGTTCTCCGTATTATTTTATGGGTTGAAGGCTTGGACTTTAAAGAAAGATGTTTCGAACAGATTGAAAGCCTTCGAGTTATGGGCCTACAGAAGGATATTAAGAATAAGTTGGATAGATAGAGTCACGAATGTCGAGGTGTTGAGAAGAATGGGAAAAGATAAAGAGGTCTAAAATACAGTTAAAGTCAGAAAACTGCAATATCTGGGACATGTTATGAGGGGCGAGCATTACAATTTGTTGCAATTAATAATGCAAGGAAGAATACAGGGTAGAAGGAGTCACAGAAGAAGAGGCACCTCCTGGTTGAATAATTTGTGAGCTTGGCTTAACTGTACTTCTGCTGACCTCTTTAGAGCAGCGGCGTCGAAAGTGCGAATTGCCATGATGGTTGCCAACCTTCTTAGAGGAGATGGCATGTGAAGAAGAAGAAGAACCCCATCGATGCCATAAGTATCGTTCAAATTTATTTACTGTAAAGCATTGGCAGTGTTGTTTTTGCTGCTTAAATATTATTTTTTATTTTTAATAAATATGATTAGTTCAATAATTGTTTTCTTTGCTACCAGCTAAGGGTTCATGGTTTAATTCATAGTTTAAAACAAGACAAATTCACATTTGAGAGACTGAACTAGGCAAAGCATAGACGATAAGCTCCAATTTTTGATTGAGGTAATATTTCTATATTAGTATTTCAATTCTCTTTGGTAGTCTTATTGTTACATGCTTACAAGAAATAAAATAAAAACTCCAACTAGCAATACGTTGGCTGAACAAACCGTGTTAACAATACAATCAAAAAAGTTAGGTTGTATACATGACCGTTTGTTCTGGAAAGGGAATACATACGAAATGAACGGTAAAATCACTTATTACAAAGATAAATGGCCACAACATGACAACAGATTAGAAAACGGAAGGTTGCCAAAGAAATAATCAAATATTATCCAAAATTCAGCCCTGCATTCATAAGGATGTAGGAAAGGGTGAAGAAAATGAAAATAATATAACCTTAAAAATTAAAACCGACAAAGCTCAATCCCTATAGTGGTGAAGAAGATGTAATTACATTTTGAAATAATCTATAGTTTTCAAGGATGTCAATTTTTCGAGAAGTTTAACAATTATTTGTAGACTGAGAGAATTATATATTCATTATCATTTCATTTATGACATATTTCTTGACATAAGGTGTAAATTTTATATGAAATTAAATTTTAAACATAAATTTAAAATTGTTAATAATTCAATTTGAAAAAGACTATTTTAAAAATGCCATTTTATGTAAAATTATCAAAATTATCAATTATTCAAAATATTATTTCCCAACTGTCAGATACAAAAAATAATATTCCATACATTTTGGAAGCTAAAAAAAATCTTACACGTCTGTAATTAGGTTTGAAGAATAATAAGTTGTAAAATATTATTAAATAATTTGTTTGGGTAGACTCCTTTTAAAATTTGTATACCGCTAATTCATTACCAGCTGTAACAATCTTCTAAGATATAAAAAAAACTATAATTACACATTTTTTTAGGTCTATAATTATTATTTAGTAAGTTAGTTGTACGATGTTTATTATGCCTGTAAAAGCAACAAACTTAGTATCCATTAGTCTTAACTTTTGGTTCTACAATATTGGATATCTAAGAAAGTATAGTATTTAATAGTATTAGTAAATGTACATAATAAAATATTTTATATTTAGATTAAATATAAAAAGTTTATACTTACAGTTTTTACATTTGCATTTCTTGATTAGTGTTTCATCTTTGATGTCTTCATGACAGGCCTTGCAGTAGTACCATGCTCTGAAATAAAAGCATTACAATGTAACATACCCACGAACAAGAAAACCCTAATTTGTAAAAATAAAAATAAAGATGAAGATATAATGATATATTCACTAGTAAACAAACTTATCACAACCTTGTTAAAAAAACTGGGACGCATATCATATCGAAGAAGCAGATAATATCGTAGCAGATCGAAATGATTGGAATGGATTCATTCCAAACGAAATAATACTACATTGAAGAGGTTGCCTAAGCCATTAAAAAGTTTAAAAATATTAAATCACCAGTAAAAGTGCCAATTTTCGACAATTTACATGCCATTCATTCGAGATATCCATCAGCTCTGTCTACAACACAGCTGATGGATATCTCGAATATAGATGCAAGTGTACAGCTGCAAGCTATATACGTGGAATTCCCCTCAAGACAGACCCGGGAGAATTATTAGGAATCAAATAAATTACATTTTAGTAAATAAAAGATTCCTAAACAGTATGATTCTGAGCAGACTTGGAGATAGACCACGTTCCACTGGTGGGAGTATTTCGAGTCAAACTCAAAACAGTGCAGAAAAGAAAAGCACCATCATACGACCTACGCATGCTGAAAGACCTTGATACGAAGATGAAAGTCTACGCCACGTTAAACGAGCAAGTGACTGCAATTAAAGACGAATCAAACGAAGAACAAATGATCAAACAAATTACAGAAATAGTGCAAAATGTTAAGGATAAACACTTAAAGACAGATAGATTTATGAAGAAAAAATCATGGATGACAGATCAGATCCTGAAACTAATGGACGAGAGAAGAGAAGCTAAAAATGACCCAGACAAATATAAAACCATAAATATATTAATTAGAACGAAAATCAGAAAAGCGAAAGAAAAAGAAGCAAGGATAAGATGCAAAGAAATTAAGACTTTGCAGTCAAAGTAGGATAGTCACAATGTACATAGGAAAGTTAAACAACTCACATCAGGACTAAGACGAAAGCAAAAAGGAAATATAACTGATTCTGACGGAAACATCATGTTGGACAAACAGAGTAAAATAAGAACGTGGAAAAAATATCTAGAAAAATTATTTGAAGACCAAAGAGATTACACATTTGAGTTAGAAGAAGAGGTAAATGAGGGACCAATAATATTACAGCAGGAAGTTTATTGCGCAATAACACAGTTAAAGGATGGCAAAGTGACAGGCCCTGATATTATAGAAGCAAAACTACTCAAACTAATGGACAACGAAGCAATAGCAATAATCGCAACTATATTCAACAACAATAAAACACTGAAAACTTTGTTTTCAGAATTCCACAAAAATTTATATTAACTCTTATCACAATAGCTGTTTCGGCTGATTGCCTTTCTCAAGTGATCTATTTTTGGCATGCGTTTACACTTTATAGTCTCTAATGGAATAGGTTGAGGAGGGGAAAACTGTTGTTGATTTTTATAGATTCTAATAAGGATAGCTTAGGGCCTTTATTTTGAATGTGAAGAATTTTAAATTCGTCGTTAAAAGAATGATTGTGATCTAGAAGGTGAAGTGCGTATGTAGAATCTGTTTTTCTATTATTGAAAGCCCTTTTATGTTCTGCTATTCGTTTGTTAAAGTTTTTACCAGTTTGGCCGATGTAAGTTTTTGGGCAGTCGCCACATTTAAGTTTGTACACACCACTGTGTATGTGTTTTTTATTTTGGCTCTTGTTGTTTTTGATATATTTGCCTAGGTTGTTATTTGTTCGGAAAGCTGGTGTTATTCCTTACTTTTTTATGTGTTTGGCTATTTTTGTTGTAATTTTGCCTGTATATGTAATCGAATAGAAGGTACTGGGTTTTTTCTCTGCTGGTGGAAATACTAATTTCAGGGCTTTACTGTGTAGTTTTTGTTTTATCAAATTTTTAAATCAAATCAAATATTAAATCAAAAACTACACAAGAAAGCCCTGAAATTATTATTTCCACCACCAGAGAAAAAACCCAGTACCTTCTGTTCGATTACATACACAGGCAAAATTACAACAAAAATAGCCAAACACATAAAAAAGAAAGGAATAACACCAGCTTTCCGAACAAATAACAACCTAGGCAAACATATCAAAAACAACAAGAGCCAAAATAAAAAACACTTACACAGTGGTGTGTACAAACTTAAATGTGGCGACTGCCCAAAAACTTACATCGGTCAAACTGGTAGAAACTTTAACAAACGAATAGCAGAACATTAAAGGGCTTTCAATAATAGAAAAACAGATTCCACATACGCACTTCACCTTCTAGATCACAATCATTCTTTCTTTATTATAATGTGAAGAATTTAAAATTCTTCACATTTAAAATAAAGGCCTTTAGCTATCCTTGTTAGAATCTATGGAAATCAACAAATTTAAAAACACAGATATAATTCTGAATGACCAACTTTAGACAAACAGTTCTCCCCTCCTCAACTTATTTGATTAAAGACTATAAAGTGTAAACGCGTGCCAAAATTAGATCACTTGAGAAAGGCAATCAGCCGAAACAGCTGTAGTGATTAGAGTTAAAATAAATTTTTGTGGAAGTTTGAAAACAAAGTTTTCAGTGTTTTATTGTTACACAAAATAAATTTCCATCAAGTAACGGTCGAATCCATCAATTATATTCAACAAGATATACAACTCTGGAGAAATACCAACAGAATGACTAAAATCTGAGTTTACTGCACTTCCAACAAAACCAGGAGCCAAAATATGCAAAAATTACCGTACTATAAGCCTCATGAGTCATCTCTCAAAATTGTTCCTAAAGACAATTCATAAAGAGAATCTACAAGCTATGTGAAAGTCAAATTTCCCCCAACCAGCTCGGGTTCATAAATGCTGTTGGTACTAGAAAGACTTTGTTCTGAGTATAAGTCTTATTCCAGAGATGCTGAGACGTCAACTGCGACATATACACATGTTTGGTTGATTACAAGAAAGCCTTTGATCGAGTACAGCAGGCTGTATTTTGTCTCCTCTAATCTTCAATCTGTACTCTGAAAGAACATTTATCGAAGCTTTGCACGAAACTGAAAAAGGTATTCTACTAAATGGTTACCGGCTAAACAACCAGATATGCAGATGACACCATAGTATTTGCAGACAACTTAGAAGACCTACAAGTTCTTATGAACAGAATCACGTATTACAGTCAACAATATGGACTCAATATAAACGTTAAGAAGACAAATCTTATGATAATTAGCAAGAAGAGGATACCAGAAGGTCAACTCTACGGCAACCAATCTCCTTTTTTTGTCCCCTGTCAATGGTTTCTCAAGAAAATACTATAATGAAATATGACACGCGGAGCTCCATCTTGCATACTGGGTTTGGCAAATCCAAGTGGATGGATGAATAGCGACTGTTTGTCGACTTTATGAAACACTTCAATAAGTTTAGCAACAGCTCAATTAAAAACCCCTCTATACTGATCTACGACAATCACGTAATATATCACGTCGTTCAACTGACAAAGGATAATGGTCTAATCATACTGACTCTGCCTTTTCCTTGTAATAATAAACTACCACCCCTTGATGTTTCAATTTTTGCTCCCTTTTTGCCTTAAACTCACGGCAGCTGAGCCATCCTGGTAAACCTATTTCAATATACCAGATAGCACAATGTGTAGGAGAGGTACATATAAAAATATTCATACCTACTCATATTCTGTCAGGTTTTAATAAAACGATAATTTTTCTTCTTAATGGAGATATTTTTCTGATGCTGACTTCACTGGAAGTTCTGTGACTGATAGACCAAATGAAAGTTAAAAGTCAAATCCACAACCAAAGTTAATAAAAATTTCTATTGTAGTTTCCAATTAAGTTAAGACACCCAAAAATCAAATACTAATTCCACCAAGAACATCTGAAAAAACAATATTGTCTCAAAACTCCTAAGTCAAGAGCGAATTCAATTTCGTTTATCTCCCCTTACGAGTTTAAAGGACAAAAGCAGAAGAGACAAAAGATGTGAAGACAAGAAACCTAAAAAGAAAGTAATTTTGCCTAATATACCTGACTTGGATCAGTTAAAAATACAAGCAGAAACCAAAAAAACGACCCTTCAGAATAATAAACGAATTAAGGTAACTTTAAATGAGGTAAGCAGTTCAGCACAAAAACAGAAAAAAAAATAGACGAAGTAATAGCATTTCATCTGAGAAGAATGAAGAACTAATCAATTATGATGATTCTTTTGGACATGAATGTCAAAATTTACACTTGAAAGACGACTATGGCATTGGTACTAGAACTGAAAATTCCATTGATAGTTTTGTATTAGTGAAATTTGAAAACAGTATATTTTATATTGCTAAGTTCTCAAGATATTAGACTATAATGAATTACAAGTGTCATTTAAAAAAAATGTAAGGTTCAAGGCTGCTTTATTTTTTTTTAGATAAAGACATTGCTGCAGTAGCAAGATCAGACGTATCAAATTTACCAAAACCAATAAATATAGAATGACAAAACAAGCGCCTTTCATCTTATTTCAAGTTTAATGTAAAATTTGACAGTATTAAGATCCGTTAAAATTTTATTTTATTAATTAGAAGATTTATAAATTAAAAGTTTTTTAATTTTACCTATAAAATTGCTATTTTCAATAATAAAATCTATGTACACTCTATTTGACGACCTGAAGCGTGTTAGCAATAACTGGAGGCAAGCCGCACAAGACATAGACAAATGTAGAGCTGAGGGAAACCTATGTGTAGCAGTGGCCGCATACAGGTTAATGATGATGACAGTCTTTTTACTTTAACAAAATACTAAAATAATACCACTTGACTCATTGTGTTCCACCAATGGTAGTCAATGAGACAGATGTAGATGGTTAGAAAAATAATCATAGAGTTTGTTTATTCAGTCATAAGGGAATATTTATTTCAGAATATATTGAGCAAAGAATCATATTGATGACTGATTAACTCAGTTTGTAGACAAATTTCAAAAATGCTCATGTCAGAAATAAAAATAAATTCAAGCAATTCAGCAAATATGCTGAAAATTTTGTATTTAACGTTTTCACGTGCTTTCCACTCATTTTTTTTTATAAAAAATTGTTTTGAGATATCTCGTGGTCAGGCGTAGCCGATCAGAATGGGTATTCTGATGGTCAACCACGAGATATCTCGAAACATTTTTTACGTGCGCTTTAGAAATTAAGGTAGTTTCCGGCAGCCGAGTATGCAGAACCACGTATTTAGTATCTCTGTTGAGTTGGCGTGCGATACAGCTGTGTGTCTTTTGTGTATTTTACTGGTTAATTCGTTTTAGTTTTCGCGTTTTTTTATTAATAATGTCCAAAAAACGAGGCTTATAATTAGACGAATTCGGGAACTATGCGAATGTGAATGAACTTGAATGGGAAGAGTTCCTGAATAATAATTCAGATGATGACTCGAACTATGAACTATCAAAATGAGCAAGGTTCAACAAGTTCAACAGCAAGCGACGATAGGTTTTTGTCACAATTACAATTGGAACAACCTACTCTAGAGCCAACTGCTTAAATGTTCAACAAACAAATTTGTATGCAGCCCAAGAAATTCAGAAAAATACACTTACAAGGTCTTCTCGAATAAATAGATTAATTAAAACTGACAAAAATAAACTATGAGTATTTATTGCCCTTTTGCTACACATGGGCCCATGTACTTTACCATCAATTGAACATTACTGGTCTCAAAATATTATGTATAAATGCCATTTTGCAGGTTAGTAATGAGTAGAAATAGATGTCAATTACTATTACGTTTTTTTTACACCGAGGTAAGACGTAGAACGAAGATTAGGGATATTGTGGAAGAAATTACAAAAATAAAATGGCGCTGGGCAGGTCACGTAGCCCGATATAATGACAACAGGTGGACACGGAGAATTCTAGAATGGAGACCAAGGACGACAACAAGAAGCATGGGAAGACCTCAAAAAAGATGGGTAGATGACATAAGAGCAGTGGCAGGCAAACAGTGGATTAGATTGGCGCAAGATAGAGAAAGATGGAAGCAATTGGGAGAGACCTACATTCAGGTGTGGATGGAAAATGGTTGACAAAGAAGAAGAAGAAGATTACGTTTTATGCGTTTTCTTGACAACTCCGAACACACAGAGGATCGATTATACAAAATAAGGCCAGTCCTCAGTCATTTTAACAAAATATTCGAAGAGAATTGCGTTCCCGATAAATTCTTATGCGTTGATAAATCCTTGATCCTCCGGCGTGATAGATTATTTTTTCGGCAGTACATAAAAAACAAAAAACATAAGTATGTTGTGAAACTATATGAACTGTGTGAATCCCATGTAGTGATTCTGAAAATTAGAATTTATTGCGGCAAATCTAAAGCCAATGACGCCACTGTTGATATGGGACATACTACAGAGGTTACTGGATAAATATTTGGACAAAGGATATATTGTCTATATGTACAATTTTTACAATCCAGTAGCTCTTACCAAGCGTATGACAGCCAGAAAAATATACGTATGTGGTACTTTACGCAATAATCGAAAAGGGAATCCAAAATGGGTGATCTCAAAAAAACATAAAAAGGTGGAGTGTGTATGGCAAAGAAATAAATCGGTAGTTTTGTGTAAGTGAAAAGACAAACGCGAAGATGATTTCAAATATGCACAAAGTAGAAATGGTCGAGGTCCATGCCAGAAGTGGGAAAGTTGCCTGGAAACCTAACATAATCAAGGATTACAACGCGTATAGACCGGTCAGATCACATGCTAAGCTACTACAAGGCTCTAAAAAAACCATAAGGTGGCCGAAAAAAGTAGCTTTGCATATTCTCAAAATATACATAAACAATGCATACTTGCTCTACCGTAATACTCAGCAAAATAACATTTTTAAAATTTCGAGAGATGTTTATTTCGACGCTCCTTGTTGATAATATGCCAAAAGCTACATCAAATCGTCCAACAAAATTTCATTACCTTGAAAGTATACCACCAATAGAAAAGAAACAACGACCAACAAGAGCTTGCCGCATAATCGTCATCGAGAAACAAGATATAGATGTGGTGCATGTGTAAAAAAGCCTCCTGTATGTTTAGAATCCTGCTTCAAAGAATATCAGCATGGATAGGACTGTTCAAGCACTTTTTTATTGAACTTTGTTTCTTTTTAATTAGGAATTTTTAGTTTTTGTCCTTTTACGATAACCAAAATAATAAATAAATCTGTTTTCTGATGTCCACCTATATTTTAATAACCTTTTGTAGATGCCCCAATATAAAATCTCCATGCATATCCCACGAATAATCTCGTGTTCGGCGCCACGAAAAACATCTACAAAAACGAGATAACTCGTGGTTGGCGTCTAAGAACAGAGAGCCAACCACGAGTTATCTCGTGCTTTGCAGTAAACGAGTTAAATATCAGATCAGAAAGATGGTATTAGATTTAAATATTAATAATAATAAATAATTTAAATAACAGATACTTTTAAAGTTTCTCATTGAGTGCTTCTTACATAAGCACAAAATCTGGAAAGCGTAATTAGGGATACCTTTTGGAATTCTGTTTTAACTCAACGATAAATTCTCTATTACGTAATGTTTTGAATAGCGAAAGAAAAATTAGCACATCAACTTACCTTTTCACTTCATCCGCTGATTGTGCAATAAAAAATCCCTGAGTATTGGCAACGATTTTTGCCCCTCTTGGATTTATCGAAATTTTTGTTTCTGCTCCCTCGGAACCCCGTACCTCTATCGCTAGCAGTAGAAGTTTGAGTTTGATGAAACACAACCTAAACATAAAATACTTTATTAATATTGAAAATAAATGGTTTTTACAAATGTAATTTTTCAAATTGAGGTAAGGTTGTTTGGAGAGGATATCTACAATATTTGTCATGATTTAATATATCAGCTGAGCAGGTAGCAGTTAATTTATAAGTACCTGTCAACAAATTTTTAATTGGATTTATTAATATTTATACAGCATTTACGTCTATACGAATTTCAAATACAATTTAAATGAAAGTCATGAATTAATCTGTCTGGTATTAATAAAACAGTTCTATGTGTTTCAGACATATTGGAGCCATATCATTTTAATGATTTTTGTATTTCATGACTTACAGGTAATAGTGTTAAACGTTACAGAGTGAGTTTAATGTATGGAATGCCACAATTATCTTCGAACAATAGATTTTGGTATTTAAGGTTCTTATGATGCTGCCGATATTATGGTGGTATTTATATTGTTGTCAGTTATTTAGTTTTTCTGAAAAGCTAATGAAGTTTCGTATTTTAAATACGATACTCTGTATATTTTTACCTTTCGAAGTCTTTAAGAAATGCTGATTATTTTCCATGTAATTTTTCTTATAGCAAAATTCCAGAATTTCGGTGTTATTGCTACATTTGCATTATCTTCGCAGAAGTTAAAATAATACATTAAATGGCTATGACTGTTACAATGTTACAATAACGGATAATTTGCTCAAGAAAAACACAAAATACTTTTCTGTAATCAATATGGCGATAATCAAGATAAATAAAATTATTTAATTTGAATAATCTTTAATAATTTATATCCTAATATCATAACAAGGTTTACTGTTAATAAATTAGTAAAAGGTTTAACAAAACTAACAAAAATAAAAGATTTATCCAAATAATATCGCAGGAAACCTGTAGTTGCTGACAAAAAATTCATGTTAGAGGTATAGTAATATGTTCTTCTTCTTCTTCCTTTTCGTATGTAAGCTTTAAAGCCTGTTTCTTCTTTAGTATTAGCCTCCTAAATTGTTTAAATTGTCGCACCATCTTTTCTTTGGTCTGCCAATACTTCTTCGCCCATTTGGTAACATATCTCGTGCTATTCGCACTATTACTATCCTGTATCATTCTACTGATGTGTTCGTTCCACTCCTGTTTTCGTTTTATCACCCATCCATTTATGTGTTCTATATTGCATGCTCTTCTTATGTTTTCGCTTCTCTCCGTATCCAACAGACTTTTCCCTGATATTCGTCGGAGTATTTTCATCTCTGTTGTTTCTACTAGTCGTCTCGTTTTAGATCTATCAGGTTTTGTCTCTTCCGTATATGTTAATATAGTTCTAATTGCTGCATTATAGATTCTTGTTTTTGTGTCTTGTCTTAGGTGTTTGTTCTTCCAGATTGTGTCATTAAGAGATCCCGTTGCTTTACTTGCTTTTAAGCTTTGTTGTCGTACTTCTTCTACATCTCCGTAACTAGTTATATTTATTCCCAGATATCTAAACCTTGCTTCCTGCTTTATTTTTCCATCAATTTCGATTTAACACCATAGTGGGTATTTAGATATTGTCATTTGGTTTTTTTCTGCTGATGTTATCATATTGTATTTCTTAGCTGTTGTATTGAAGATATGTGTTAATCTTTGGAGCTCGTTTTCTGTCTCAGCAATTAATGCGGCGTCGTTTGCATAACATAATTCTTTGTTCATCATTCTGTTGCTATGACCTTTTCGTACTGCTTGTATTATTTCGTCCAATATTATATTAAATAGAAGTGGGCTTAACGAGTCACCTTGTCTGACACAAATTTACCTTTACCTGTATTCGATTATGTAAGTAGATGTTTTCGATGGTTTGTATAATATTGATTGGTATGTTTCTTTTATACAGTAGGTGTAAGACGTCTTCGACATAAATGCGTTCGAAAGCCTTTATCAGGTCTATAAAACATAGATATGTTGGTTTATTGTAATCCATGGCCTTTTCTGTGATTTGTCATGTAGCATTTTTAATTTCATTGATTCTTTGAAGTATATTGAAATCCCCTCGTATATGAAATATATTGAAATCTCCTTATATATGTTTAAAAAATAAAACGAAGAATTTTTTCCGTGTTTGTTAGTTCGTATCTTTCAAGTTAAAATACGCAAAAGTGTTTTCAATAATTGTATTTGCATTGTTAGATGTTAAAATAAACCATTTTAGAGTTGTTTATTATTTTAACTTTTTCGGCAATTTCTTTTAATGTTTTATTCGAAGTCGCATTATAATTTTTAAACGTTGTAGAAGTGAAATCTTTTACGTATCAATTTCGTTGTGTTTTGTTATGTCAGCTTTTATTTTATTTTCAAGTTATATGAACCAATTTTTAAATTCGTCATTCGTACTTGGGTCGCCGGTAGAGTCAGGTGTGACCTAATAGATTCTTACTTGGTTCGCTGTGTGGATCGCAAGTATGGATCCACAAATTCTTCGTCAAATTTGTGTTCTTCTGTTTTGGCCCCTTTAGTGGAAATATATGGCAGTAAAAAAAGGAATTTGTGTAGTATACCAGAATATGGTATAATTTTGAAGCAATATATAGGATGTCCCACCAGTTTGTTACCGTTTTCCTATTTGATCCAATTCTATCTACGTCAGATCTTCGTTCCAGTATGGAAATGGTTTCCTTTTGTTCCAGTTGAGAGTTTTGTCCTTGCAGCTCCAATCCAGAGATAGTAGCAAGTTTTTCAAAGTTAAGTGATTATAAAAAAGATTAAGGTAACTTTTAATATATTAATTTTTCCAAGTTATATGGACATTATTAATAACTGCTTTCAATAATATAAAAGAATTTGCAATAATTAAAGTTTTATATTATGTTATCGTAGATAAAAATGTCATAATTTAATCTGTCTTAAGTTATGTTGACACATGACATTTTGCTTTAATCCATTGTTGTTATAAGACAATTTTAATTTGATTATTTCATATAAAAGATATTTCATATGTAAGATTAAATTCAATAATATTTTTCATAGAAAGGATATCCATAAAATTTTGATAATCTAAATTCGCCATATTATAACCTAGAAGCCATTTAAAACTTTTGTAACAATCTCTTATGTTAACAAAGAACATATAAGTTTTTAGTAATTTGGATTATGTTGTATATTATATTCTTGTATTTCTCCATGTTGTAACTATTTGTGGCGACACAAAAATAAATATTAAATTTTGTTTTCTCACATTTTGTATATTTTTTTGAACTAACCCTTTTTTAAGTTTTATTTGAAAAAGATATTTTTTTTTATATTTTTGATGTTCTATAATTATTTCCCTATTTACAACTACCTAGTGGTTGTAATAGGTATAATTAGGCACCTTAAGTGGCGCCCTATATTAAATTCCTTGAGGTGTTTCCTGTTTATTTTCATTTTATTTGTCCCAAGAGATTTGCATAAGTACCCCTTTATTCATTTTTTGTAGTTGCCCCAATCCAACCCCCTTATCTTTTACTTATCCACCACCCCAGCTCTACTACCAAACCCTGAGTACCGTCCACACAAGTAGCGATTATTTTGCTTGCCTTATCTCCACCCCAATAGTTTCTTCTCCCAATTGTCCTGTATTAATGAACCCTTTGATAGGCAAAATATCTATGTTGCAGTCTTAGTACAAATACGGCATCTACGTAGGATTTTCCGGATCTGAATCCTTGCTGTTCATCTGATAAAATTGTTACTTTATTAATTTTATTGGTTAGGACTTTTGTGGTAAGCTTAAGTGCGGTGTTCAGTAGATTTATACCTCTATAATTGTTGGGGTCTTCTTTATCTCCTTTCTTGAACATTGATATCATTATGCTGTTTCTCCAAGCGTCTGTTATCTTGCAGTACAATATTAGTTTCTGTATAAGTTTTGTCATCTCTAGGGTTATACTTACTCCTCCATGTGAGTAGTAGAAAACGTAGGAACTTTAGCAAAACGATTACAGAAAATTCTCAAAATGTCCGTCTACTTCAATACAACCAGCCATGTGATTTTAAAAACTTTGCAATACATTTTGCAACATCTCTGGCTACTCAAATCTTCTTATCTATGTGGTAAATCTCTGGAAAACACATTATTTAGGTATTGTCATACCACATAATGATACCATCATATTGCGGATTAATATTGTTGTTTGGAATATTGTTATTGTCTGGAAGTTTCGGACAATAAAATTTCTAATAAAATTAATCAATTCTGTAATTAAAAGTACTTACTTGGATTTGGCAACAACCTAGCGAACTCAGGTATAACACTATTTTCCAATAAATCTAAATATGCCGGAACATTTAATTTCTCCCAATGAAAAAAGGACCAATTATTTTGTCGCTTATTGTTCCAGCCCCTATATTAAGTTTTTCTTGATACTGTGTGTGGTATTCATGCATACAAAGAGGATTGTTACCTGACCAGTATCTGCAATATACCAATTTACGTTTCCATTAACCTTTTAGTGTTAACACATGGTTTCACATACGGGGCTAACCTATTTATACCGATAATTAATAATCTGTTCTAATATTCGGGCTAGGACATTTAATAGCTTCATACTTTAAATAACCGTTGTTAGTATTAAAATATTGTTGAACGTTGATACATACCTAGTTCGTTCGTTACACAAACGTTACACACGTTACACATTTCAGTCTCAGAGACAAATGTTAGCTTTTGCGGCTGTAGTAAGGATAGTAACTTTTAGCGTTATATTTTTAGTGAATAAAATATTGTTTTTTTACTTTTTAAAAATAGAACGAAATGAACTAAAATTGAACTATGAGGAAGAGCAAAAATATTTTCAGAGACTTCGAGACGAATTCATTCCAATTCATCATTACTGATAGTAATGATGAATTGGAACGTAACTATTCTGCTGATAGTTTTGAAGAAAATGAATTTGAAATACAAAATCTTGCTACAGATAGTGAACATAATATATCAAAAGCAGAAAATGATGTTTTTCATTTCGCGGAAGCAAAAAATATTTGCCAACGA